CTCAGTTTACTCTCCTCCAAATTTGAGAGACTGAGAATGGAAGAAACTGAAACAATTTCTCAGTACAATGAGAAATTGATTGATTTAGCTAATGAATTTCAATCCTTAGGTGGTCCTTTGAGCAACGAGAGACTGGTGAATAAGGTATTGAGAACTCTTCCAGAAAGATTCAGCATGACAGTTACTGCTATTGAGGAGGCCAAAGACACATCACCTCTACGGCTGGACGACTTAATTGGTAGCCAAAAGTCTAGAGAAATGAACTTTGAAGATCAAAGAAAGGAGAAAGAAAAGGCTATCTCAAATGCACTCCAGGCAGAATTAGAGAAGGAAGATGTTGCTCCGGAATATGATGATGATGCAGAGGAATGTCTCAACAATGTCGCATTCCAAATTCGGAAATTCAATAGGGCATACATGCGAAGTGGAATCAAGCCCAGACAATGATTTCCAGATGGCTCTCCAAAAAATCGACAAACTCAGCCCCGGAACAGATCTACTCCACAGAGAACATTTCCTCAAACATCTTCTTAGAACACTTTAAAAAATTCTTCATTTGTTCGTTCAAATTCTGAACCACCTAACTTGGATCACATTAAATGCAGGGCTTGTTCCGGATTTGGACATTATGCTAATGAATGTGCAAATACCTTGAGAAGAAGAGGAATGAGTTTGATTTGTGCTGTCAGTGATGAGGAGGAAGAGAAACCTGAACAGACAGAGGAACAACAATCCACTAAACAAGCTCTCTCTGTCAGATATATCACTGGAAATGCTTCTGAAACAGAATCACAAGGAGTTTCTCTAGATGCTGCAACACTTTCTGAAACACTTTCAGTAACTGAAATTTCTGAGTTAAATACTGATCATTATCCATGTTTAAACTCTATTTCTTTGAATGCAGCAGAATCCAGTAAAGAAGCAGTTAGTGATAAGGAAGAAATGTGTAAGAAATTGGTTAGTGACTTGGAGAAGAAGACTCAAGCTCTAGATGCAGCCAACAAGGAAAACTCTTCCCTTAAAGAAACAAGCATTCATTTGGAGGTTGGTATCACCAAGAAGGATCTTGAACTGGCAAAGGTGAAAGATGAACTCAAGGAAGCAACTCTAGTAATCAAGAGGATGAATACCGGCACAACTAAACTCAAAGAGATTGTGTCACTGGAGAAGTACAACAAAAATGAAGGTCTAGGGTTCAAAAACCAAGTGAAGAAGCACATGCCATTAAACAAGAAGGAGATTGTCTTTGTAAAAGAGAAGGGTTCAAATAGAAAAGAATGCAGAAATTCCACAGTCACCACTCCAGAGTCCAGAATAAAGGGATACATTTGTCATTACTATTTCTCACCAGGACATATCAATCCATTTTGTGAGAAACTAAGTAGTGACAAAATGTTGTACAGGATGAGTCACATCACTCCAGGGAACATCTCCAAGAAAAAGGTAGAATTTACCAAAAAAGAGTATAGTATATGGACTCCCAAAGGTAAACTTTTGTGCAAGGCAGTATACACTTATTTAAATGCTAACATTTCAGGTTCATGGTATTTTGATAGTGGATGCTCTAGGCATATGACTGGAACTAAAGAGTTTTTATCGAACTACTATACGCTCAATGGTGGACGTGTAACCTATGGAGGAGGAGCTAAAGACAAAGTGGTTGGACGTGGAACACTCAGTATTGAGGGACTTCCAAAACTTTCAAATGTCTTACATGTTGAAGGATTGGGGTCAAATCTCATCAGTTCTAGATCAATGGATAATTGTTATCAAACAGGTGACACCATCTCATGCAAGAGCTCAAGAGTAAGTGAAGTAGAGATGTGGCTATGGCACACAAACTTCAAAAATCTGAAGCTGCTCAACAAGTACAATGCTATAAGAGGAATTCCAGATCTCAAGATCAAGGACATCCCTCTATGCGGAATGTGCCATAAGGGAAAGCAAACTAGAGTGCCACACAAAGTGTTACAACACGTTGGTACCACCATTTGTTTTGAACTTGTACATATGGACCTTATGGGTCCTATATAGGTAGAAAGTCTAGGTGGTAAAGAATATGTATTTGCGTGTGTTGATGATTTTTCGAGATATACTTGGGTGTATTTTTTAAGAGAAAAATCTGATCTAGAATACATGCATGTGTTTGGATGTGTTTGCTATGTCCTAAATGATAGAGATCATCTAGCTAAATTTGATTCAAAAAGTGATTTGAGTTTATTTGTGGGATACTCTAATAACAGTCATGCATATAGAGTATATAACTTAAGAACTCGAACCATTGTTGAATCTGTAAATGTGGTATTTGATGATTTTGCTGATCTCCGCAGTAAAACAGCTGAAGATGAAGTTGATGACCTGATTGCTAAAGGAGAAACAACCGGAGGAGACACTACTGCCACAAATGCTCCAGTATAAACAGTCCAGTATCAAGAGAAGAGGGTGTTGAGCCAAGTGTTACCACATCCGACTCAATACTTCCTACAGAGAGCACAGAAGCTGAATTGCAGCCAACTCATGATGTCTGCAGAAAGGAACCATCAAGTAGAATCCAGAAAAATCACCCATCGACTCAAGTTGTGGGAGATATCTTTGATGGGATAAGGACTAGAAGAAAAGAGAGAGTAAATTACAGAGATATGGTAAGATTTGCAAATTTATCTTCTGAATGTACACTAACTAGAACTACTTGCTTTGTATCTTCAGTCGAACCAAGGAATATTGCAGAAGCACTGAAGAATGAGTTTTGGATTAATGCAATGCATGAAGAGCTGAATCAGTTCATCAGGAATGATGTTTGGTACTTAGTTCCCAGACCAAGTCATGTAAATGTGATAGGAACTAAGTGGATCTTCAAAAATAAAACTGATGAAAAAGGTACAGTTGTTAGAAATAAGGCTAGGTTAGTAGCACAAGGTTATACTCAGATTGAAGGTATAGATTTTGATGAAACCTTTGCTCCAGTAGCTAGAATTGAATCCATTAGGTTAGTTCTTGCTATAGCCTGTTTTCTTAAAATCAAATTGTATCAGATGGATATCAAAAGTGCATGTCTAAATAGTGTTTTAAATGAAGAAGCATATGTAGAGCAGCCCAAGGGTTTTGAAGATTCTGCCAAGCCTAACCATGTTTTCAAGCTTAAGAAGGCTTTGTATGGTCTTAAACAAGCTCCTAGAGCTTGGTATCAAAGACTCAGTGACTTCTTACTTGAAATACAGTTTAACAGAGGAGAGGCAGACATAATTCTATTTGTTAAGAGAACAAATAACCATATCATTACTGTACAGATATATGTTGATGATATTGTTTTTGGTTCTACGTGTGCTAACCTTTTTCAGTTTTTTGTAGATTCTATGTCTCACACTTTTGAAATGAGCATGGTAGGAGAGTTGAATTACTTCCTAGGACTCCAAATCAAACAGACAGGTGAAGGAATGTTTGTAAATCAAAAGAAGTATGCTCTCAATCTGGTCAAAAGGTTTGAGTTGGAGTCAGCCAAGCACATGAAAACTCCAATGGGTTCCACCCAAAAACTGTCCAAGGATGATGTTGCAGAAGATGTTGACAGCACCCTTTACAGAAGCATGATTGGAAGTCTTTTGTATCTAACAGCAAGCAGGCCTGACATTATGTTAAGTGTTTGTGTGTGTGCCAGGTATCAAGCTAATCCCAAAGTCACTCATCTTAAAGCTGTGAAGAGGATTATTAGGTATGTTGCAGGTACAGTAGACTTAGGGATTCAATTTTTCAAAGACACTAATACAAATTTGATAGGTTTTAGTGATTCTTATTGGGCTGGGGATATTAGTGACAGAAAAAGCACCTTAGGTGCATGTTTATTTTTGGGGAATAATCTGGTTTCTTGGTTTAGTAGAAAGCAAAATTGTGTATCTCTCTCAACAGCTGAATCAGAATATGTAGCTGCTGGAGGATGTTGTGGTCAACTAATTTGGATGAAACAAATGTTGGGAGATTATTGGTTGACCAGTGATACCCTGACCATATATTGTGATAATTCAAGTGCTATTGACATTTCAAAAAATCCTGTTCAACACTCACGAACTAAACACATAGATATTAAACATCATTTTATTCGTGATATAGTTGAGAAAAATATAGTGTGCTTAAAGTACATTCCTACAGAAGATCAGCTGGCTGACATCTTTACAAAGGCATTAGATTATGAGAGGTTTTCTAAACTCAGAAAATCTCTCGGGATGTGTACTCAATAAACATGTCCTGAAATATGTTGCAGCACCTCATCAAATATCTTAAGCTGCAACATAATTTACTGAAGCTTAGCTTTTTTAAATAATGACTTCACTGTGATGGATTATTTTCTAAATAAGTAACTGGAAGTCTTTCACCTTGAAACGTGATCATGCTTCATGTAAACATTTAGGGAATAATTACACTCACATAAGTCAAACTCCTCTATTTTGATAGTCATATCTTAGTAACTGAGGAACCTTCAAACTGAACACTTGATCATGTTCCATGTGAATTGTTTGACTTGAAAATAAGAGTTTAAAAAAAAAAAAAAAATTAATAATAATAATAATAATAAATAGATATATATATATATATATATAATAAAATCTATGCCTGTTAGCCAATTCTTTTTCTCACTATTAATCATTAATAAATATGTTTTTTATTTTTGTGAATATTTCATGAGTGCAACGGTTTTTTTTTTTTTTTTTTTTTTTATTGAATTATTCCTATTTATATGGGTCATGGGTACATGGGTTAGTCTTTCATTTTCCACTAAGTCCACTCCTTATTGTGCCATGTGTCACGGTTTACTTTAAACTGCCAAAGAAACTTTTATTCTCCTTAATCACACTCTCTCCAAGAAAAACGCACACCACTTCTTCACCTTCTCCACTTCAATTTTTTTTCTGCAAAAATTAGGGCTTATAAATTTCGTGCTTCTTTTCCGAAAATTCACATTAAAAAATCAAAAGCACAAGAAGCAATTTTTCTTTATCTACTGTATCATGGCATCTCCTCCTAGAAATCCTATTCCAGCCGCCGTCGGTGATGTCCACAACGATGCTGCAGCACCTGATCCAGCAGATCCGAATATGGCCATCATCGTTCGTCCTGTCAAGCTTGAAGCTATGCCGATCAGCTTTATTGAGCCCGGAGACGAGATGAATCCGATTGACCCAGACAACTTCCAGAACGTAGGTCCCTCTTCCAATGCAGGAAGGTTTCCAACTCGCCGGTCCAAGCGCATGAATCCCTTCCCTGATCTGAATGCTACTGGATCACAACGCCGAAGGGGAAGACATTCTCCCAGCAGAGGCGGCAGAGGTTGAAGAAGAGGCAGCAGAGTCGGTCGCACTGCAGTTAGGCCAAACCCACCAAGAGGCCTTCATTTGGTTGATGAAGAATATGATGATGAAGAAGGAGATCCTACTTTTGCAGAACCAAGCCCAAGCTCTCTCCTCAAGCTCCACCGATTCATCTTCCAAAGACTCACCTCCACCAGCATCAACTCAGGGGGAGACATTTCAGTCCAACATGGCAGCAACTCCCTCTCAACATCCTGTTTCCGAAGATGTTGCTGCACATGTTCCTGAAAATGCTGCTGCACCTACTGTCTCAGACAATGCTTCTCAAAATGTTGCTGAGGATGCTGCTCCTTATCAAGATGAGGAAATGCCAGACCTTTCTGGGATGTCCTTTGCTGAGCATGTAGATATCACCACTGCTGATGCCGAGGACTTTGCCACCACAGAAGAAACCTCACTTCCTACACCCTCAGCTCCAAATGAAGATCCTCTGGAAACTCTGGCAGAGGCAGTTGTTCAAGTGGATGCACCACCTTCCCAGGCTGAAGAGGAAAAGAAAAGTGATGACAGTTGTAAAGTGCCCTTGCCTCTTTCCGCAAGAATTTGCCATCCTCAGAGTCAGACAGTGATTCTTCCGAGGACTCATCTCAGATGGAAGAAGATGCTGCTCCACCTGTTGCATCACCTGAGCCAACATACATCCCAGATGAACTTGAAGACTCAGAAGAAGATGAATCCCCTGAGGAAGAAGAGCTAGACTTGGATGTGAAGGATCTGTCAACTCCTATTGAGGTAAACAATGCCTTCAGTCCTATCTTTTATTTTGAATCTGATTCAAATTTGAGTCCTCAAATCATGAATTGCCAATTCATTGAGGAAAATAAAATTTTCAAGGATGAGTTTGATAGACATAGGATCATTGCTTTTCATAAGGACTTGATCAAAGAAAAATCCTTAGTCTAGTTGAGGTTGCCTGTCCTTATGAAGGAATTTTTATGCCAATTTACAAATTTTTTTAAAGAAAAATTCTCCAAACTTTGGAAAAGTTTTTTTGTGCGAATCAATTTTCTCTTGTTCTCCCAAAATTATCAACTCTCATTTACAAACTCCTATTGTGATTGATGAGATTAATTATGGTGATTTTACTGAAGTTTGTAAAACTCTTTTTGGCAATCGTTTTAATCCTTCTCTCATCTACTCCATTCTGCTTTCTCACACTTGGCATGATAATTGTTTTTCAAAATTTTCTCAAAGCTCCTCATGTCCAAGATTTTCCCTGGAATGGAGATAATTTCCTCTCAACTGAATCATGTCAAAATAATCTTGGTACTGAAGGTATTGCTCCTCATGTTGACAACATCCCTGACATCCTTATTTATGTTTCTCACTCACTCGCTAGTTCATATCACCTATCATCAGTGCATGGTGGAAATGCTTCAGAGAGCACTTTCTGATCAAAAAGGGGGAGAACAAGCTGGTCATGAAGTTGAAGCAGGGTGAAGGAGCAGAGGAAAGTAGTGGATCCAGTACTAGTGATGGAGGAACAACAGCTGATACTGAGAAGACTTTGGATTGCACTATTTTGTTATTTGCTATATTGGTTATCATATTCAGGGGGAGTTCAAGCAATGACTCAAGGGGAGTTAAGCTAAAATTTAGTTTTGATCAGAAAGTTAAAAAGGGGGAGTTTGAAACACGTGGATTATTTCCACATTTGGTTTTTAACCATCTTATTTTCTAAACTAAATTTTAGTTATTGAAAAAGTAGTGCTTGGTGGGCTAAGTATAATACTTAGTGGGCTAAGTAGTGCTTAGTGGGTTTAATTCTGGATTTTATTCTAACTTCCTAACCAACCCACTAACCCATTTTCTTGAGTGCTCTTGTGGTTGGTTTTCTTGCAGATCATGGGCTGAGGAGTGGAAGCTTGAAATGTCTATAAATACCGATTTCAATACTCAATGAATTTGATCGATCCCGAAGAAAAGAAAAACACCGAGAGCTGAAAAGAATACATGAGTGTTTTAGTGTGTTTTTAGGATCGGTTGGTTGTACTCCTCACGAGTACAATCTTTACGTACTCCTTATGAGTACATTCTTTACGTACTTCTCATAAGTACATTCTTTGTAGTCTAGATTGTTTAGTATAAATGTTTCTAGACTTGGTTGTAAGAATGATCAAGATAGTGATTCATTCATAAGTTCTTTACGTACTCCTCACGAGTACATCTTTGAAATCTAGAATTTTTAATATTTTTCTTTTTGTATCTAGATTTGAATGTAAGAATGATCATGAGAATGATTCATTCATAAGGAAGAAGTTTTCGCACCTCTTCTGTTTGTATTCTTGGAATACTGATTTTAATATATTTTTCCGTCCTGTAAAGGACAAGTTCACAAGTCTTTACTTGTGAACATTTTTAATTCTAAGTATTGTTTCTTTATATTTCCGCTGCATGTTTGCTTAAGTGTCATAACACTTCAAATAACACCTCTGTATTAAACGAATTCGGGACCATAAATTCTTTCAGAGTATGCACAATTTGCTCTTGGAGCAAACGCGCAAACGAATTTTATTGAGCCAATCAAGGTAATTATTGCCATTAAGTTTTGTTCATATCGAGAATTGACGATAAGGGATTCTTAGCATTTATATTGAAACTTTTAAGTAGACTTACATAAAAGATATTTCATTTTTAATGAATGCAATTAAAGATTTGGACTTTTATCATTTAATTGTTCTCCCAATAATTTTATCAAATTCCACCACCCTCTAGCAGACAGACGAGAAAACGTATTTTTCCTTAATGGGCTTTAGGTCCAATAGCGCAAATGTAACCCGTAGTTTATCTAGCCCGATTACATAAGCCTAAAGGTAGAGTACTATCTATCACATCACTATGTGACCCTAAAGATTGTTTTACCTCACACTTTATAATGACCTAAGTTAATCTCGCGAATATCAAAATCTTCGTGTGTCTAGTCTAGCCTACCAATGAGATTTCATAGATCCAACTCTATCAAACTAATGCAGTCCCTAGTTAATCTAGCCGACCACATTAATCCAATAGAATTTTATCTACAACCCTATCTCCATCTAATGTCAATTAAATTACATCTTATCCCATAATAGCACTCCCCGCTAACACGGCTTACTGCACTATTATGAGAGGCTACACATAATATAATCGTTGGTGGAAGGAAAGAAGAAAAAACGACAATTCGGTTCTCCTTTATAGCTTGATAATTATTCTTAGAAATTAAGAATGAGGGATTTTTATTAAGTTATGGTTATCTCATCAGAATTATTGGTTATGATCGTTTGGGATTCCTACAACTATGTTCTCTAATGTGGAAACGCATATTGATCCTAAGAGAGACATACGATCATCATCGTACTTAATTACAATTATTCATCACATGAGTTAATAAATTAAAACGATGAAATGCAAAATAATTAACGGACCTCTTTCATTCATAAATCAATCAAATAAGAACGAGACCCATTAATTATTTGCCATGTAATAACATTTGTGTTCCATTTATTAAATTAATTTAACAATTAAATTAATCCAACACTATTCTTTGAATTCAAATTAAATTAATGGATCAATTATCTAATTGGGCTTCATTAATTTCAGAAATTTAAAATAATATATATATATATATATATATATATATATATATATATATATATATTTTTATTTTTTTTTGTTTCGGTGCTGACCGGACCGGTCAGACCCGGTCTGACCCACCGGACCGGTCAGCTGTAGACAATCAGAAAAATAAAATTCAGAATTTTCGATTTTTCAAATTCTACAATTTCTGAAAATATTCAAAATATTCAATTAAAATTAAAACACCCAATTTCGATAATACCAAAAATTTAACAATTCAACAAATTAAGCATGCTTTTGAAAGCGATTAAACACGTTGACAATTAATCGATTACCCGTGGCTCTAATACCACTGTTGGGGATCGATGCATGTATACGCAGCGGAAAACAAAAATTTAATCGAACTCAATGTTCGATCACATGCATAAATAAATTAATTGAACGTACCTTAACGCTTCCGCCATACACATGGTAATATTTCATATTTTAATCGAAATTAAATAAAACGAAAAACAAAGATGAGCATGCTTGCATACGACATCATGAAATCGAAAACATACATTCTTGATATAATTGTCATGCTCACAAATTAATTCACATAATCCAATTATGAATTAATTCGCAGGGGTTTTCGATTTTACCTCTTGAAGCGTGAGATTCCGACGAATCGAAATCTATAAACTAAGACAGGTACAACCTGCTATTAAAAAACTCCAAGGCTCCGAAGAACCGACCGAGCAGCAGCTGGTCCGATCTGATCTCGACGGCAGCACATGAGGTGCAGCGGCGGTGGCGCGTGGCAACGGCGACAACGCGTGCGGGGCTGGCGGTGGTGGAGTTGCGTTCTTCCTTTCCAATTAGGTTTCACCTCATACAACTTGACCCACTCTAACTGCAGCACTAGATACAGAAGAGTTAGAAAACAACAGGAATAAAGACGAGGAAGAAAAGAGAAGAAACCGGCGGCAGAGCGGCGGCGCGACGGCGGCAGAGCGGTGCAGCGGCTGGGCTGCAGCCGTGAGGCGGAGGACGGCCGTGCTTCATGCGGCTAGGGTTTGGGGCTGTAAATTCTCGGATCTCAACTCATCATATGAGTTGTATTTATACTAGGGTTCATAACCCTCATGGGCTTAAGTCATTGGGTTTGACCCACTGATCCATTAAACCCACCCCCTCGTCGGCCTCGTTTCTTACAAACGATCGTCCACAAAATTATAACAAAATTATATTTGTGACGAGCATAAAGTCCTCGTCGATATGAGAGCCTCTTTGAAATTTTCAATTTCCAAAATTGGAAACTTCTAATTTAGTGGACCTCCTAATCGGGAAACTTCCCAATTTGGAAAGTTCACTAAATTTCCGCATGTCTCTTTCTCTCCGTTTATTCCAACTCGTAATCCACAATTACAAATCTTAGATTCAATCATATTGACATCCAACTACTCAAAGATTAACACATTAATTTATTCTTGTTGTTTTTCAAGGATCTATGTTACACGAGAAGTGTGACCCTCAATGGTTCAGGTGTAAGCTAGCCGTGGGCTCACACTTCTTTGTCATTCGAACAACACATTGTTCTTATACGAACTCCTCCTAAGAGTCCTGATTAGGGTAAAACTCATTTTACTCAATCGCCGATCAAATCGGTGCCCAACGAATCAAGATTGGCGTCTAGCAACTACGCATCATGATTCCCTAGATACAAATGAAGTGCCTGCAAGAAACTTGTGATATAGTTAACGTACAGTACGATCCCTTCGCAGCACATGTCCCGATTGAACTAGAGGCATTGGTTCACCGAGACCTCTTATTAAGTTCAATAACCGTGCGAACGTTCTAGGTGGTATAATCCGTTCGTGTGTGACTTAGAGAAACACATTTCCCCTACTACCATGCACAGACTTCACACTAGATTTCGGATTGCACGAACGTTGGCCCTTGGAGCGGTCCGCGGTGGGACTCAGGGACAGGTCACGATACAGTCGGTCCTCTAGTGAAGTCACAGTGATGTCTGGGTCTTAAGGACTAATGGTGCACAACTATATCATAGAAACCTATTACTCGATGAATGGGAACCACTTATTGATTTCTAGGCGAGGGAATGGGAACCACTTATTGATTTCTAGGCGAGGGAGTTCAGTGAACTCATCTAACATGAGCACCCACTCAAGTATGCAGTACACATACACTAAGTGCTAGTCTCAAAAGGGAAAGGCCGGTATCCTCATTATTGGCGTAACCCATCGACTAGGAACAAGGTTTAACAGTTACATTACATTGCTGAGTTATCTCACGATTCTACTAGATCAACTCACAGTAATAGAGTAACTCGTTAGGACTATATCTATGCTACTTGCATGGGATAAGTGATATAAAATGCCAAATAAAATGTTTTATCATTAATTAAAAATAGATTATTTACGAGTAGCGTGAGAAAACACAACACTTAGTTGGCTTATTGGTCACAAACTCTAACAATCTCCCACTTGACCTAAAGCCAACTACTCATTACCGAAGTCCCATCGACTCTCGATTTTTCTCATGGACCGGTCTGTGTAAAGGCTAAGTAAAGGGATCTAGAATGTTGTCTACCGAGGCAACTCTCTCGAACTAAAGTTCGCCTCTACTAATTATCTTACTAATGAATTAATTTGTATTCAGTATCTGCTTGGATTTCTGATGAGATCTTTTGAATAAATACATTCAACATTTGAATGTAATTTTGTTAAATATATATTTTTATACTTTATCGTACCTTTTTATTTGAGCTTTTGGTGTGATTTAACGATAATTGGTGGTTAAAAAGTTGATTTATTGTATTTTAGGTATAAATTGAAGAATTGGAAAAGTTTGAGGTCAAAACTGCAAATTTGGAGAAAATATGGGCCAAAAGTGAAATAATCAAAAATATGCTGAAATTGGCTGAAAACAGGCCCGCACAGCCGTGCCAAAATTAGCCTATTTTTGGCACGGCCGTGCCAAATGCTGAATTTGGGCAGAAGGTTCGGCGATTCTCGCGCGGCCGTGCGAGAATTGC